CAGTTGGGACAGGTACAGTGGTGAAATCTGAACCGGTTTACTACCAGCTCGCTGGCTGCACGTGTGCAGTGTATCCCACGCACCAAATGCAAGGTGCGCACACACAGTGCATGCCAAAAGGAGGCATGCGGTAAGTAGAACAGCGCGTGAATAGGAGGGGTGATCAGCTGTGGCGGGCAATCTTTTTTTTTACTTTTAAAAGCATTGCTTTTAAAAGTAAAAAAAAAAGCCTCTGACGATCTTGCTGCTCAGTTGTGATCGTCAGAAGCTTTTTTTTTTTCTTTTAAAAGCATTTTTTCTACAACCTCTTCGGCCAAAGAGAAATGCTTTTAAAAGGCTCTGACGATCCCAGCTGAGTTGCCTGATCGTCAGAGGCTTTTTTTTTTTTTTTTTGGCCAAAGAGGTTGTAAAAAAAAAAAAAGCCTCTGATCATTGCGTGCTTCATCTGGGCATGGGGGGTGGGGCAGGGGTTTTTGCTACCGGTTCTCCAAACCACCTGCTGCCATCACTACCAGATTGGGTGATCCGGTCCAAACTGGGAGCATTTCACCCCTGGACAGGAATGTTCATTTCTAAGCAAGGTGGTTCTTAAGTAAGCTGTGCCTGATATCATGACCTTTATTGCTACCATTATTAAGTGAATCATGCAGTTTTAGGTGAGTCTGGCTTTTCCCATTGATTTTGCTTATTGGAAATCTGCTGTGACAGCCGTAAACAGTGATCATGTGACCCAGGACACTGCAATTACATCCTGAATGCCAAGCGCCTGAATCATGTGACCATTGGGATGTTATGACATTTCTAAGTGCAAGCACTGGTTGTAAGGCGCTTTGAACAGTCACTAAAGAATGGTTGTAATTTTAGGGACTACCTGTAATGTGATATGCCCTCAGTCTAGGTTGCTGTATTTATTAATATTTCATCAATCATGTGTGTGCTTATGAGAAGATGCAGGTCCTATTATACTTACTGTACAATGAAAATGAGCTAGAAGGGAAGTGTCCTTCAGGTGTCTGCGTGTTTTTTTACACTTCATTTGGAAGACATCCAGATTGTCCAAATGAGACAAATATTGTGGGTAATAAATACCAGTCATTCAAAGGGGTTCTTTGTAGGGAAGAGGAGATGTTGTCCCCATCCTTCTGCTTTGACTGTAGAAGCTTATACAACAGAGGAATCCAGCTCTGTCAAGATTTACAATGCAATCACTGGAAAATCTTTTAAGCTTTGTCGTTTTGGGACTACAAAGAAGCCGTCTTTTGCTGCCTGAGAGAGTGTCTGTCTGTTTAGCATTACAATGTTGTGTGTGCAAACTGCTACTTGCATTTGGACATATTTTTTTTTAGCCAAACAGGAAAAAAGCATTGTGTGACATGGTGTTATTTCCTTTTAGAATAGTCAAATTTGAATGACGCTAACCTGAAATGCTTGCACTCTTCAGGTTTATGCAACATGTTCAAACTTATTATTCTGTTACCCATTTAAATACTTAAAGTATTAATTCACTGTATATATATCCTGCTCAACATGTGATCCAGCACAGAATGTAGAATTAAAAGCAACCCATAAAGAATGAACTATAATTGCAGATTCTGGGTTTCAGTTTAGCCATGAAAGCCAGCTGGGTGACTTTGGCCCAGTTACTCTCTAAGCCTAGCTTACCTCACAGGGTGATTGTTGTGGGGAACACAGAAGGCAGGAGTACTGTGATTTATGACCATATCTGAGCACAAGCTTATTGTCATAAATCATGTCCCAACCTGATTTTATGACATTTTTTGCAGTAGTTGTTAAATAAATCGCCATAGTCGTTAAGCAAATCCATGGTCATGTAGCAAACCATTGTCTGCAATGGACTTTTTTTTACTGGATATTAGAAATAAATGCTGGCTTCCAGCCAAACAGTTGTACATTGCAATCAGATGACTATGGGATGCTGCAAACTGCTGTAAATGTGGTCAGTTCTAAGTGCCCAAAATGTGACCTTCTGACTGCGAGGGACGGGATGGGATGGGATGGGAGGCACTGGAACTTCAAATCCAGATCATAAGTATATTTTTTAGTATCTCTCATAACTTCAAATTGCCAAATTGTCCAGCATAAGTCAAGGAACTGTAAGTCAACGTCTACCTATATTCATTAAGTTTATTACCATATATTAAATATGTATATTAAATATATATATAAAATATATAAAAAAGGTAAGATAAAAATCTAATAAGAAAGCAAAGATAGTACCAATAGTAATAGGCACCTTCATTGTAATCCCAAAAGAACTCGAGCATCAGTTGAACATCATCACCATTGACAAATTTACCATCAATCAGTTGCAATCAATCAGCTTTAGTCACAACACCTTATATCCTGGGACAATATCTGTAACATCATAAAACAACTCCAACTGTATATCCCAGGTCCTTGGAAAGGACTTGAAAGGTAGAGAAAAAATGACAAATCCAGTCTGAAGATCTGATTGATTGTGCAATGAACCATAATGAAGATGATGATGATAATGATGTAGGACATTAGATTGCTTGGGCTTCACAATATTTATTTATTTATTTATTTATTTTTTATTAGTCATATTTCTATGCCGCCCATTCTCCGAGGACTCTGGGCGGCTTACACCAAAGACAGTATACTAAATAGCATATTGCCCCCAACAATCTGAGTCCTCATTTTATCCACCTCGGAAGGATGGAAGGCTGAGTCAACCTTGAGCCGGTGAGATTTGATCCACTGATTTGCTGAACTAGCCGTCAGCTGAAGTAGCTGCAGTACTGCACTCTAACCACTGCGCCACCTCGGCTCATTTCAATTTTGTGCACTACATTGAACTATTGAATTATAAACTAATCTAATGGGTTTACAGTAATTTATACCATATGCCAAGCCAGCCCTTTCCTCAAAACTAAGCAAGATTAGCCAAGCTTTGCATATGTATTATACAAATGCAGCTTATTTAAACATGTTGTATGAGCTCAGCCACAGCTGAATAGCACTTTGGAAGGCACAAACTCCACCTTCTATTTGATGCAGGATTTGCAGTAGAGAAGGCAGGTATCTTTTAATAAGCAGTTATTCAGTTTCTTCCAATATGACCTAGCAAAAGAGAACAAGGGAAAAGTGACTATTCACTAATGTTCCAAATGGTGTATTTATAAGACATGGATAAATAATGCAAATCCCATGGGATTAATTTGCATATTTTCTATTCATATTTGCAGACTATGATCACATTATGATTGAAAAAAACCTTGCTGAATAATTGCTGTCCCTCTGATTGCTCTGTCAGGTTTTTAATATCATTAAGACAAAATAAAGGCTGTCTTCCCAGGACATGTTTAGTGGGTTAAGAAGAGTGTGTTCATGCCTTGTGAACATTGTGTTTCAGTACTTTGGCAAGAGAAGCAAGATTGTTTCATTCAGCACAGTGTTTTGGACTATAAACTGAATTTTCTAATCAGCCATGTAGTCCACCTATGGAAAAGAAGGTTGATAAGAATCATGTACACATTTCCTGCTGTTCACATGTAGGGTGATTCCTAAAACAGCTGACCTCTAATTTGGGTTTCTCTGCAAATGTAGTCTCTTTCCAACCAGATTGGAAAAATAGCTATTTATTTTGTCCTTCAAGTAAGAAAGTAATGGCAGAGTAAAGTCAGTTTGGTTTAGTGGCTAAGTGCTGGGTTAGAAACTGGAAGAGCTCTAGTCATCCCTTAGGCATGAAAACTGCAATGCAGCATGATCATAAATGTACTTATTCAGAGATGAGTCCCAGGGCATTCAATTTGAAGGTAACCATAGGTGTGCTGTTTTTTGCAAGCAAAAATGCTAAGACTTACACTTTCTGTTTTCTGCAGTTTATAAGTTTACATTATGCAGAATTATGTAGAAAGCCATTGCCATACATTGACTTGATTGCAGGTTTTTTTTTCCTAAGAAAAGAATCTTTACCAGCCCTGCCTAGGTATGCTGGGTATTGAATCTCAGACCTTTTTTATGTAAAATATATGCAAAGCTCAGTTTTACAAAAAGAAGAGAATTGCAGGCTACAAATTGTAGAGACAAATTGCCAGTGCTTGAGATTCATATTAGGCAGAGAAAGACAAAAAAAGAAAAGACCTAAATGTATTCATAATGTTCACTGTGGCAAACTTTAAGAGCAGAAAATAATTAGAGACCAAATCAGATTACAGTATATTACTGAACAGATTAGCTTTTGCAGTCCCTAAATTAAAGTTGTCTCCTCAAACTGGTAAAAACTTAGATAAAACCCATTTTTCCCTTCTCCATCCAACTTCCCATTGGTCCCATGCATTTTATATTAAAATGTTTTCTTACTGATCTTTCCGAATCTCTCCAGATTAAGACTGAAGTATAAATAGTTTCTCTAAGAAAATGAATTAGTAAAATTCTTTTTTTCTAAGAACATTTAGGGTATCTTATATTAAGGGTTTCATTTTAACACCAATCTTCAGAACTGAACAGCGTTGTCTGGCCTAATATATTATATTGGTTTCAAAGTTGAACTAATCATATTGAATATAGAACTTTGATTTATTTTTGTCTTTCTACTTGAATGTCTATAAGTAGCAACTTAGAACAATCAGTTTGTTTTGTATAAGTCTTTTGCTGCTTAGAAAAAGCATCCATCTAGAGGAATGTTTCTAACTTCCTCCAGTTTGTTCGAGTCATTGTACAAAGACAAATGAGTTTTTGAAATCCAACTATATTAGATTTTCTGGGGCTGAGTCAGTTATTTTGCATACACAGTGTACAAATGTAGTCCCCAGCATTTCCAGATAGGGCTGGAAAATAAAAACTACTTTGGAGAACCAATGGCAATGGGACTAAATATTTATTAAGCGATTTGGTCTCACTTAGTGTGCAGTAAATGCCTAGAATCATCTGTACCCAGAGACAAGTAGATCACAGTGGTTTTTGTAGATGTAATGTGATTTAGTGAAGAGAGCAATACAGAGTTATTTTTCTTGCAGGCTCAATCCCAGGGATCAATAACACTGAAAATTATTCCAGGCATCAAAGAAGAAGATCGTCTGAAGGATAGCAAGGTAAGAGAATCTGTTTACATGTGAAAACATTACAATCTTACCTAGATATTCTTCTGAATATGTGTTCCTGTACTAAGCATGTTTCAAGGGATTGGGTAGCCTGGTATTTCCCATGTGTATGGAAACTGCAACTCTTAGACTTTTTAGCCTCCATAGCTTTTATCTAAATTTGCAGGAATTGTGTGGGTTGTCAAATATGTTGGATGTAGGTGTGGCCCTCTTAGGAATGGCAGATATGGGCTACCCTGGAACTTTTAGTTCAGTGTTTTTCAAACTTGCCAGTTTTAATGTGTGGACTTCCAACTCCCAGCATGCCACCTGAAAAATTCTGGGAAATTCATAAATCTTACAGTTACAAAATCACTGATCAGTTCACAAAATCTTAAAATTCAACAAATCTTAAAGATGCTAAGTTTGGGAAAATATATTTGAAGGTCAAGCAGGAATCATTTGCATGTTCATACTTAATTGAACAGTATTCCCAGCTTGTTAAACACACTGAGATCTGCCTTTCGTCTGAGGAAAATTCTTGTGATTTCAGACTAGAGATGCATTTTACAGTACTTTGGTTTCAAATAGTTGCCTCCAGAAGTTGTAAATGCTCTAACATTGGAGGTTTTTAAGAAGAATTTGGACAACCATTTGCCTGAAATGGTATAGGGTTTCCTGCCTGAGCAGGGGTTGGACTAGAAACCTCTCAGGTCTACCTACTCTGTTATTCTGTTTTAATGTCCTGGATTAAACTGGAACTGGATTTTGCATGAAGACATCATGGCAATCTAACTGGTTTGAAACTAATTTTCTCTTTCAGCGTAGATTTGAAAAATGGAATGGAAAGGACACAGTTGCAAGGGTGGGAAGCTGAGGCAATTCAAATGATTTCTGGGCTCTGGAAGGAACAGAAGTGTTGTGAGGAGATGATAACCATGGTGGCAATGACTGTTTTTCCTTCCTCTCTCCCTCCCCCCCCCACTTTCTTCTTAGAGTTTAGAAAGTGTCAATGGCAGTGGCAGCACATATAATTTTTCTTTCTGCTTAAAAGCACCAGTGGAACATCAGCTGTCATTTATTCCCCACTCCACCTTTTTCAAGAATGGGCCTGGAATAAAGCTAGCAATAAATTTGCTAGCTAATTGGTTTTATAAGTGGTAGGAATTTTTTTCAGTCTGCCACCACTCAAATCTTGCCTTTCTAAAAAGTGTAAAGGAGTGGGGATTAGGGGGAGAGGATGAAGCTATACTCCAGATCTACCTAAAATTATTTAACTAGCTACATAAATCTGTGACTGGGGGTGGTGACTGGGGAAAGAACAGTTTGTCTTAGTCATATTTGCATATATATCTCTTTTACTCTGCTCCACTTCGAATATCATTATTTTTCCATCTTTGTATTTGTGGATTTGTTTTCATATCCCTAAAGCTCTCCAAGCCATGGGTTCGGAAGACAATCTATATAAGTTTCTGCTGCTTTTTTTCCCCATCTGCATGAAATTCTAGGAACTGTAATTATGGCACGGTAACTTTTCTTTCATCTGTTAGGTATTCATGAGAGCTCTCTTCTCCTACAATCCAAAAGAGGATAAAGCTATCCCATGTCAGGAGGCAGGACTACCTTTTCAGAGAAGGCACATCTTAGAAGTAGTTAGCCAAGATGACCCAACATGGTGGCAGGCCAAACGTGTGGGTGACACAAACCTTCGGGCCGGTCTGATTCCTTCTAAGCAGTTCCAAGAAAGGTGAGTTAGGAAAAGCAATGGCTTGAGGTGCAAGACTTGATTACTAATACAGTGAACAAAGCTGTGTCTCGGTTTAAAAGTAAAGCAAATTATGTTTTCTTTTTATGAGGGCACCTCATGTATTGTTGGACTCGTACATTCTTCCTTCCTTTAGGGAACAAAAAGAAACGTGTGTTTCTTGCAACTGTTAGCTGTAGTTTTTATTTTCTTTCCAATGAAGCAAGCAAGGATTTGCACAAGCCATAGTAGACTCTATTTTTAGGCAGAATGGTGATGACAAAGGGTAGGGCAGTTTTTGACTTTTCTTTCTCAGCTCTCCACCCATTTCTTTTTCTTGGAGGATAATTATGTATCCTGGACTGTCTATTTAGGTTGTTGATTAGAACTGAAGTAAGATTCAACTGTCATCCTGCTTTCTATACTCAGAATTCAGAGTGCAGATGGCTTCTAGCTCTTAGTCTAAGCCACAATATATTTTCGATCAGTTCTGGTATAAAACAAAGTTTTGTTGCAGACTAGGATTCCTAACAAATTTTAAATAATTTTTGGGCTCCAGATTTGAGGAGAAAGTAGTTATGCTGAGGTGGTGAAACTGACTATGGTTTTTAATGGCTCAATATGAAATATTTTGATCATTTCCCTGGTCCTTGTGTGGCATCTTCGAGACTACAGAGGCAAAGATTACTCTGGATTAGACATGCAAATACTTCATTATGATACAACTGGGGAAAAGGCTTGTCTAATGTATCATAAGGTTTAGGAAAGTTACTGTAGGGGAAAATAGTATTTTAGAGTTTACAGGAAATGACTAAAATTGTGAATTGACCACTGAAACCTCTGGGAAAAAAGTGCTTTCTAAATGAGCTTCACTCAGCATAAAGTATAGCTACAGTTTTTTGAATTTAATTTTCAAATGGCAAATTTAACACTTCTTTTAGTATGATCAACTTTTCTCCCATCTTAACTCTCTGCAATTGCACTGGACTAACAAGCAATTTTATCTTCTCTGAAAAGCAAAATGCAACTTGCCACTTGGAATTTTTCTTTTCTTAAAAATTGATTTTCGTTATTAAGGAGGGAACAGATCAATGGTAATAGAAATGAATGTTCTGCATATTGCCAACTGGCTGACTTCCACTTTTAATCACAGCATTTCCTTCATACGTTCATCTTTGAATGGCTCCCCCCCCCCCACACACACACACCTGCAGCAACTTTGTTGCAATAAAATTTGAAAGGGCAGTATCAAATACTTCTTTAAAATCTTTGTCCTTTTTATAGACAGTCACATACACAAATTTAGCAAAAGAGGGGAGAAAGGAAACAGTACTTCCTTCCCCTCCTCCTTTTGTATGAACCATTAAAATAGCCACCTGCACCTTAACTCCCACTTAGACTCAAACAATGAAATGCAGGATGAGTGTATTACTCAGATCTGACTAGCTTGAATCTCATATAGTGTCTGTCTTTTCAGACTTGCTTACAGGTAGTCCTCGCTTAATGACTGGTTGCTTAGTGACCATTCAGTTGTGATGCACCTTCCCCCAAAGGTATTTACAAGCTGATTCCAAAGTTTCAATGACCACACCTCTCCCCCACAGTCACCTTATTACAATGTGGGCAATTCACGACTGGTGTACATTTTTGGCAGTTTGCAAGGTCCCCCAGTCACAGGATAATGATTTTTGTGGTTTTTTGGTTGATTTCTATTTTCACTTCCAGTTTCCAGCAAAAAATGCCCATTGGATAAAATGGAATTGTTAAATGACCATCCCGTTTGCTTAATGACCATAATGTTCACTTCATGACTGCTGCATGAAAGGACATAAAATTGGGTGTGGTCATGTGGTGATCCACTTAACCACTGCCATGACTTATGACCATAATTTCTAGCTCAGTTACTAGCTGAGCAAAATCAAAGATTATCTCTATATCTTTGTTCTAAAGCAGACTGTGAAGGTGGGTTGAGTGTTCAAGACAGGAAGCAGCACCATGGACAGATGTCAGTGAGTTGAACCAAATTCAGACTGAAAAAGTCATCCAAACCCAGCTCACTGTTGAAGTCCCAAAACAGTATCAGAAAACTGACTTAAGGGTTAAACTAGTGTCAAGCAGTATATTTTCCTGAATTGTTCATACTCCGTTTGAGTACAAATAATCTCTGTAGGAAATGAAGAGAAGAGTATTTCAAATAAGTTTTCATGAGTGAGGTGTGGTCCTTTTGTATTTATTTAGTTACAAGTTGACTAAAAGGCATGTGTGAATACACTCTACAGTCCAGGTATAGTTGTACATCTGGTAGGCTTGTGCAGAACTTCATGAATAACTTGGAAAAGTTCCTTTGGAGACTGAACCCTTTGCAGAGCAGGAGATTCCTTCTCTGCCACAGCAAATAGCTGAAGAATCAATTATTGTACGTTCCCTTGAAAAAAATTGAATGGGTATAATTAGAAACCCTGTCTTTTCTGCAGTCCATTTAAAGAGTTATGTGTATATAGCCCAACAAATGTAACTTATTCTGCTTTTAAAAATTGCAAATAAATGCTATGTTTATGTTTCTGCATGCCCTGAAGGAACCTTTCCAAATTATTTGCGAAGTCTGTTGTCTTCTTAGTTTCCAAGACTTCAGCTAAAGTTCCAGGAAATAATTCCTCCAGGTGTGTGTGTGTGTGTGTGTGTGTGTGTGTGTGTGTGTGTGTGTGTTCAGTAATAATGCTTTTGTCACTACTGAGGAGAAATTCTGCCCTTGAAAATTGTTGGAGAATGTCTCTGTCTTCAAATATGATGGAGGACTTGAACAGCCATATGTGTCCAATCATCTATGCTGAATGTCCCAAAGGTGCTTTTTTTAAAAAGGTAACTGGACTTTGTTTTTTCTTGAAGACCTTTCTCTTCTCATCCAAAAAGCTTCTTCAGTTCTGACTGAAGTCAGTCAGAACTGAAGAAGTATCTTGGATGAGAAATGAAAGGTCTTCAAGGAAAAACAAAGCCCAGTAATGGGACAACTATTACCTGGATGACTGAGAATCTTTATAGACATTCATGCTGAACAGTTTCCATAGGGTTGATGGCATTTAATATCTTGGTGCAACTTGATTGCCTGCTTTTTCCCAAAGAAGAAAAGTCAAGAAGTCTGCAAGGAGAAATATGCACTTAATTTGTTACTCCAAATTGCTTCTCAACGAAGAACACACTGGACTTTTTTTGCAGGAAAGCACACATCTGCATAATTCAGACTTTTGTTTTTCACCTATCCATAGAAAAATGACATTAGTCACTTAGTTACTTGAACTTAGTTCCAGTTAAAATCAGAATGAAACTTTGGGTTAGTTTTCTAAAAAACAAGCTTGAACTGCCAATGATACAGTACATGCTCCTCATCTGGATTGGGTCCTATATCTGTTTCCAAACTCCTCCTTCTTTGCCTTTTGCTTCCAAGGGGGTTGCTTTCAACTAATAGCTGCCTTAGAGCAAAGAGTAACCAGTATCTGTTGGGTCCAAATAGTCCCTCAGGGACACAATTTGGATTCAGTGTTTCATCCATAAAATAAATATTTGTTTTTTTAATGACATTAAAGTAATACCACAAATTATTTTAAATCAAAATCTACTTATTTTGTCCTTAAATTAACATGATATGTATCTACCTGTTATGGCCTAGCATTGTGTTCAGACCAAACCACTGTGGCTTGTTCAATGACATAGCTTTATGGATGAACTAGGCCAATCTACAGTTGAGGTCTTAAACGTACCGTGTTTCCCCCAAAATAAGACCAGGTCTTATATTAATTTTTGTTCTAAAAGACGCATTATGTTTTTTTTTCTGGTTAGGTCTTATTTTGGGGGAAATACAGTACTAAATGCCTCCATTTGCTGACGATCGTAACTGGGGCTTATTTTTGGGGTGGTGTTCATATTACGAGCATCCTAAAAAATCATGCTAGGGATTATTTTCTGGTTGGGTCTTATTTTCAGGGAAACCGGGTATGTATCCCAAGTGAGTCTGAATCAAAGCTATTTTTGTTGTTGTTGCTTAAAAGTTCTTAGTATTTTCTTGCATCCTCCCCCATCTCAGAATTGTAAATCTTGTTGTTTTATCTAGGCGCTTAATGTATAGAAGGACCATCGGTGCATTGCACAATTCCAGAAGTGTTACAAAGCCATACTGTGAGTCACTACAAACCTTTTCCTTGTTTGTTCAAGGCACATTTATCTCACCATTTATAAATTTATAATGTTTCTCCTTTTATGGATAGGTATTCTCAGCCCACAAGGACTTTGTTGCATTGCTGTGTCATATGGAAAGACAATAAGCAGTGCCAGAATTGAGAGAATTAGGAATAATGCACAGAAGGGCGCTCTAGGGGAAGAAAACACTTCATGTTTTAGGTTAATAGCTAGCTCTGTAGGGATAATGACATTCAGTGGAACTAACTGATTGTTGTTTGGTCATGCAGTCCAGGATAGAGAGAGGCAGATCAGGGAGGACAGACTTTGAAATATGCATTGTTAATTGTAAGCTATAGTTCTCACCTCTTATATAAAGCAGTGTGCTCATAAAGTATTAAAATAAATAGGTAGCAATTCTTCAATTAGTTTTCCACAATTAAGAGTCAGTTGTTGGCAGTTGTGGACTAAGGCCTCTAGAAATAACATTGCCTAGTCTATTAATCAGTTAGATAGATTAAGCCATTTCAATGTCTAAAATATTAATTGGTTGGCAGATTTGTAATTGTAATTAAATTATAAATTAAATATTATATTCCTTTTAGTGGCTTTGATCAGAGGATTAGGACTGCCAGGTCTGGGATGCAAAATCAGGATGAGCAGTAGATGGCTCTAACAATATTTTCTTGATCTCTTTTCAGCCATCTAGTAGTTCTGAGTTTTTGCATCACAGATTCAATAGTCTGTAATTAAGCCTTCCTTATCAATAGTTCTGGCAACACACAGTCAAAAATAAGGAATTCCCTTTGGGAAATACAGAATCCCACACATGTTCTACAAAAAAAAAAAAAAAAACCAAACAAACTATGATCCCTTGCTTCAAAGAACATCAGTCCCTTTACCATTGGCCAGGCTGGCAACACTGGTGTGGAAGGGAAAGTGGTTAAAAAGAGCAAAAAGACAACCACAGATACTAGTTCTGGTGCTGTAATGGTATGTGGGAATAACCTTGGGAGATGGGAGGAAGACCCACAGATGGGACAACTATAAAAGGTATCTCAGCCCACAGAAAGAGAGGAGGCACAGAGAGCATTTCAGAAAGGACCCTTCTTAATTTTCTGGAGAGTGAAATGAGAGGAAGGGAGAAATACATTAGGTCTTGCAAGATTCTGCTTACTATAAAGGCAGAGCAGTTCTGCTCCCTGCCTGGATTACCTTGAAGAGCAAATAGGTACGTACAGACCAAACTTTGCTCACTCTGACTGCCTCTGCTTACATTCTTCTTGTCAACAATATCTTTTTCCAGGGCCCTTACTTATATTTTTTTTTATCCTGCCTTATTATTTTTTATAAATAACTCAAGGCAACAAACATACCACTCCTTCCTTTTCTATTCTATTATATTATTACAAAATCTCCACTTTCCTGATCCCTGGCTAGCATAATTTCCTCCCCCATTACAGCCAAGCATGCAGAAGACAAACTGTCCGAGGGAGGATTGGAAATTGCTACCCTCCCACTTCTCCCCTGTAATTGTCAGATCAGTCCCACTGAAATGGTCCATAAGAGGAAGACCTTTTTCCCTTACAAGGAAAACAAAGCTTTTAAGGAGGAAATGAAACAAAAATAAAGAAGATGGCCATCCTCAATCACAATAAAGCCCATAAGGAGGCATAAAGAAACCCAAGAGGAGAGAAATACACTGCTCAAAAAAATAAAGGGAACACAAGCAGAAGTCATCCGAGGTCTGAATGAATGAAATAGCCTTATTAAATACTTTGTTCTTTACATACAGTAGTTTATACACTGCTCAAACAACTAAAGGGAACACAAAACTACTGTATGTAACAAACAAAATATTTAATAAGGCTATTTCATTCATTCAGATCTCGGATGTCTTCTGCTTGTGTTCCCTTTATTTTTTTGAGCAGTGTATTTATGAGAGGATCATAAATATTTAGAACATACAGATAGAAGTAACAGGGCATGGAAAGAGGAGCAACAAATGCCATATTCCTCTTCCCCACCCCCCATATCAGACATGCAAACAGATGTTGTTTATTTACTTTTGGGTACATGTGTGTGAATATTTTAAGACCTTATGTGTGAGAAATTGCTGAGGAGTTTTCCTCAGTTGAATCACTGTTGCCCATAAGTGCTTACAAGAGAATTGTCTGCAAGAAATCTGACTGGGATGTGTGGTTTGATTGCTCCTGCAATCAGTGTTGGGAAGGCTGCCTGAGCCTTGGCTAAAAGCTCTGCAGTGGAAAGAACTTTAGCAGGGGTTTCAAACTCGATTTCATTGAGGGCCACATTAGGGTTGTGCTTGACTTTGGGGTGGGGGGACAGGGTGGCCATGGCCAGCTCGATGTCATTTGCACCTGTGGTGGCCTGAGCGCTCTGCCAGCGAAAACGGGTTCCCAAGCCCCATTTTTAGCTGTCACATCCTCCTGCAACCCTCTACAAGTAAAAATGGAGCTCCGGAAGGCTGCACATGGCCCTCCTGAGCGCCATTTTCACTGGCAGAAGCAGTGCAGGCTGGTCCTATGCTGTTTCCAGGGCGGTCCCATGGGCCAGATCTAAGTACCCTGCAGGCCGGATCCGGCCTCCAAGCCTTGAGTTTGAGACCCCTGAGCTTTAGAGTTGCTCTATCAATCCAACTCTTTTTCCTGGAAGACTGAATGGACAGACAAAAATGGGCAACTATTCCATTTTTTACTGGATTAGAGTTTTCTCATGATATGAATGCCCAGGGGAAGATACTTTGAACAGACTTGGAACTGGCTGTAAAAGTAAAATCCATAACTGACAGAATTTTTAGATGCTTGGCAATGATCCTGCCCATGTTGCTATACCAAATGTTTAATACCATATAAAGCAGTGTGTAATATATATCCTAGCTACTATTTAAATATCAACTAAATATATACAAAATTAACATACATTAAAGTAATACAGCCTGATACCATGAATGACTACATTAATCTTTAAAAAAGAAAAAGAAAAAAGAAAGTAAGGCCTTGAACAAATGATCTAATTCTTTGTATTTTATTTTACATTTTATTGCAGTTAGCCCATAAATGCCATTTCGATGGAAAGCCAGAATACAAATCTAAGAAACCAGCCAAGTTATAGTTTAATAGCAACAATAGATCTCTTATTACCTCAGGAAATTTGCCATGAAAATTCTACCCTGTTTTGTATTGTGCTCTGTGGGATCATTTTGTTTGGGGATGGAGGGGTGGGAGGGGATGGGCTGTCCTTTGAATTTGCCCTGATTTGATAGAAGGAAGTGCGCACTCAAAGCATGGCAAAAGAAAATGGTTGGTAGAAGGACATCCTATCTTTATATGGATGTTTTCTGTCAAAATATCACACACATACATGCAACTAGTTTTGTGAGGGTCCCTCCTGCTCCTGTTATTGAGCCCGTGTGTTTATATGCATCAAAACATGTAGTTGTCTGGAGCCCATGTACCATGGTATGAGCAATTGATAATTATAAAGAAAAGGGGGGAAAAAGAAAAAGGAAGTTAGCAATAACCCTCTCTCCCCCTCCTCCTTCCTCCCTTCCTCTCTCCCCCTCTCCCTCTCCCTCTACGGTATATACCTACCTACCTACCTACCTATCTAATATATATATATATATATATATATATATATATATATATATATGAGAGAGAGAGAGAGAGAGAGAGAGCGAGAGAGAGAGAGAGATTTTTTTAAAAATGCAGGTAAAAGGATAAATAGAAGAAAAGATTTGAAAGAAGAAAAAACTCAAACCAAAATGAAAGTACAAAAAATAAAGTAGAAAAAATAGAATGTTTTTTCTATAATGTACCAATTTTCTTTGCTACACATATGTTATAAAAAATACATCAAACACTTACTGTAAGGTTAACATTTATCTACATTATTTCCATAATTCCATGAAATTTTAATTCTCAAATCCCAAAATCAACTTTTCATTTTCAGTTTCTCGCAAAAAAATCCAAAAGTGGTTTCCAAGTAGAAGTAAAATTTGCCACATCCCCCAATTCTACTAGTTTCACCATCCATTCTTCGTTTGTAGATATTTGTAAATCCTTCCATCTTTAAGTGTCGCTGCTATCCTATTATAAAAACAAGTGCCATAAGATGTCTCAATTATTTATCCATTACGCCCAAAAGAAAGGTCTGTGCTTTCAATTCTATGTTCACATTTGTTCACATCAAATACAAACTCGACCCCAATATTTTCTAGCTTTATTAAATGTCCATCAAAGATGAAAAAATGTTCCCTCAGTTTGATTGCATTTCCACCATGCTTTGAAGCTCCCTTATATATTTTTGACAATGTATCTAGTGCCATGTACCAATGAGACATCATTTTATAGAAGTTTTTCTATAATTATAATTTAATGTAAATTACAACCTTTTTTTCCTCATACTATTCCCACTGGTCCAAATATATCTTTTTTTTTTTTTGAGAAAAATCAAAATCTCCTTAATTTGTTTCTCAGTTAGGTCTCTGTGTATACATATAGTCTTTTTAGCACAAGTCGTAAGTCATAAGCAGAACATAACATCTACTTATTATTATCCCTGTCAAGATAATATGGGGTGCTTTCCTTACATTTAAACAATTGGACTGAATAAAGAATCCCTTAAGACATTTTTCTTGGCTTTCTTTTAACAATCTTACCTCTGTCTTTTCATGCTAACCGCAGATGATCAATCTTCTGAGAAAGGTAGGTTCTCCAGCTACTCTGGAGTGACAGCACCAGCAGAGTCATTTTCTGCCTGCTCAAACCATCCTGCAGTGAACCAAATCAAGATGCCGATATAGAGATCTTAGATTGTTCAGCTGGAACAGATGGTACAATTGTGCATTTGTTTTTCATTTTCCACAATTGATTCTGCATCAAAGATGCTTTTTAAAAAGTAATCTGAATATAATTTGACAAAACAGTGCGACACTTAAATGGAAAGGACATGTAATTTTGGAGGGAATTTTGAGACAAATCTTCAGATTTGAAACCTTTCTGTTGGGAAAAAAAGAAAGGTTTGGGGGCAACTTTATATATCATTGCTTTGTGGGTGTTATAAGCATTTTTAGGTCAATGGATGCTCATTTAGTGATAAATTTCGAATAATGAGGTTTATTACATAACATCTGATCCCATTTTATTCCTCCTTGCTAGAAAAAAATGTGAATAAACAAGGCACGCTCATAAATCTAAATGCATTATTTCAATGTGATTATGTTTAAATATTACCTTACTGCCTTGGTGTAATATAAAATGCATATTCAGAGCATACAATATAGATAACTTGCCTCCAAATTAAAGAAAAGGATGGATTGCTTGGTGCTTAATCTAAATGGGAATTGAAGGGGAGCAAGCTGAAGGGCAGGAAAGAAGAAGAGAAGAGAAGGGAGAAGTGATTTCAAAAGAAAATGAGCTGAGAACATGCGTGAGAAGAGGGAATGTCCAACACAAAAGCAATATCATGATCGATATGTGTGGAAATGCTGAAATCATAATGGATTTTTTAAATATTGAGATTAGAATGCTAAAATGCTTATTTATTTATCATATTTATATAGCCACCTGTCACATGACACTGGGTGGGGTACAACATCCAATCACTGGTTGATTCAAAATTCAATTTCCTGTGATTATCCCATTCCAGCCCAGAAGAAAAGTCATTTACCTAATTTATTAGCAGTACTTGGATTTTTTCCCCCTTCTGTTAAGTCTTGTCCAATTATCAGAGACTGCAGGGACAAGCTTGTGCGGTTCTCTTGGCAAGTGTTTTTTATCAGGTCAACCTGGTCTATCCAATTATGGGATGGAGCATACTGCTCCGCTTCTCTTGGCAAGGTTTTTCAGAAGGGGCTTACCACCTCATTCCTAGGAATAAGAGAAAATGACTGGCCCAGAGATATCCACCTTGCTTTGTGCCCATGACTAGAACACAAGATCTTCTGATTACTAGCCTGATACATTAACCTTTACATCAAATTGGCTTTTAGTCCTTGGATTTCAGTTGGGTTATTCTGTCTGCAGTGAAAATCAATCTTTTATAGCCTCATAAAAGGGGAAAAATAAATTTTTCTCATATACACTCAGGGCCTCTTATGTCAATCTCATTTAATTTTCCTTAGCTATTAATTTGCCCCGTGTTTTACTATGTAATTTATTTTTTTGTACGTGCTAATCACACGGATTAAACTCCTGCTGTTTCTTAAAAAGCTATTGTGCTGTTTCTAGGAGCTTTTGTTAACACAGCAGGTAATTTCCTGTTGAACCACAATGTGTAGCTATTTTTCCTTCTCCTTTTTCCTTTTGATTTGGCCTTGCACCTTCCAGAAAAATGTACTAGGGTTCGTTTTTTAACTTAACAATTGCCTCAAATAAGAAAAGGTGCTCAGGTTATAAATAAAGTCTTACTAGCAGTATTAATAATGCAGGAGTTTAAATTTAATTGCCTTGATTTAACTCTTGGGACAGTCTCCTAGTGCAGCTGTTGCTACTAAAGTGGAATCCCATCTAGTGGAACCTTGAAAGGGTGCCTTTTCCATGGCTGCCGCTACCACACAAAAACACCCTTCCATTGGTGATTTGACAGCTTCCACCGTTCTAAACTTACACAGAGACCTGACTTTACACTGAGGACTGGGATAGGTGTAGGCAGATAGTGTGGAAGGAGGCAGCTGACCCCTTCCACACTATCTGCCTACACCTATCCCAAAGGGACAATTATGCTGTTTTTACTTTATTGTTTTACTATTTTTTTTTACTGCTTTATTATTGTTTTACTTATTGGTTTTATTTTTGTGAGCCACTCAGAATTACTTAAGATGGGAGGGCACATAACCCCTTTACATAAATAGATAAATAAGGAACCCAATCCAGTTAAGGGGCAAAAAAATAAAGAACAACACTTTCCTTCTAATGATAAACATAGTGCTTTTTATATAAGTTTAAAGGGGTCGGGGTCATTTGCAGCTTATTTGGCCAGAGTGATTAGAGGAGCTGTCTCTAACATGGCAGTTTCCAGATAATTGTTTATACAATTTATATAGCCACCCATCTCAAACAATCGCTCTTGGTGGTACTTAGAAGGCTAAAAGCGAAAAAGAGAAATATATAAAGTAAATATCAAGCAGACAAATACAATGCATGTGAGTGTTTAAAAATCATTCTGTTTCTCATCAATGAAAACTAAAAGCAGACAAACCAATTGTCAGGCCTGGCTTGTCTATGTGGCCAAATATCTGAGGGAAGTTCTAGCATTTTTTTTACTCCTTAAGAAAGGCCAACTGGGGTTACCCAGATTTGTGAACTGACAGGAAATCATGGGAATTCAGTCTGACCAGTTGGGAAAGGATTTATTAAAAAATTTACACAACAGTAACAGTTGGCAATTCCTATTTGAATTCTTCAGTTGAGTGTGCTGCTTATTTTTGTCACCTTGAAACAGCCACTGGATGGTTTCCCAGGTCATAGTCATCTAAAATCAATTGTATGGTTTGTGGAATAAATCAGAATAGCTTGGTTTATCTCACAAATCACACATAACTGTCATGGTTATAAACCCAAATTACTGGTTTTATACATGCATTAAGTTAAAACCAAAGCATGCTGGATGGAAAATTCTGGGAGTTGAAGACATCTTAAAAGTTGCCAACGTTGAAACACTATTGTAAAAGACTAAGTTCTTTTCAAGAGTAATCACATAGTCCTAAAACTGTTTAAAATGTGGTACCCCTCTTGAGTTCATTGAGCCAAAAACTCAGAATCTAAACTTATTATAAGAAGTGAACCATGCACACAAGGGCAAATAGATCTTTTATGTGCACTCACTATATCATTTCCCCCATTGAAGAACACTCTCTTCACCCAGGTTCCACTATGCTAACATTAGATGAATTATTTGGGCCTTCTACCCTAGCCCTAAAGAGGCATCTGTTGGGGGAGGTCAAAAACCTGAGTTGCAGCCACACATTTGAAACCCCGCCTCTTTTCATGTGTTATGCGTGTGAGAGATTCTTGCAAAAAAAGGGGTAGATACCTGCAGCCCTACCTCTATGCTTTGAAAACTCTCTGGGGGTAACTTTCAAGCATGTTCAAGGCTCATGAGAGACTGCTTGTCTGCTGTTTCTATATCTCCACTGCTTGTTGTCTGCATATCTTGTACTCTTGAACTCAGCCTTTGAAGTATAATTACTTTTTAAAAAAGGGGCACTCTATTTATGGTAAATCAACTTCATGGGATGTTTTCTTTACTTTGAAACCCTAGAAAGCTAGGGTTTCTTACTCCAGAAATCTATATTTTTCAGTATTGCTGGCCACAATTAAACAATTTCAACTTTTATTATGATATCAGTTGAAAAAAAATAATATGCAACGCAATCAAGCAAACACTGGCCTTGCTCAACCAGTGAGACTTCAAATGCATAACTCCCATCGCTCCCTGCCAGGATTTCTTGGCTCAAAATTAAAGACATCTGAGATGTTTGAAGACTGCCAGACTGGACTGGCATAGCCTGGCACCAGCCCACACTTCTCCAGAGCTTCAAACAGAATCGTTTGCCTGTGGATGCTTGGAGCCAGTCCCTCTATACAACACACACTGCTTTATTTACTGAATTTGCCTAGCCTTTATTCTTTATTTCCCATATTTGTGCTTAAAGATGGATGATGACATTCTTATTTCCAGAATGCATGACCTGCAACCTACAACGTATTTGTACCTATTCTCTCACTCTTCTTTCTATACAGAAGACTGTGACTGTGAGGGTTACTTCAATGGACAATACATAGGTGGGTACCAATCTTTGTAATGAATGATACATATTCCAGATTCTGCCCTAAAACCTGGAAGGTATATACCGTGTTTTCCTGTCTTATATTTTTTTGAACCCTGAAATAAGCGCTTGGCCTTATTGCCATGCGCTCAAAAACCTGATTGGGCTTATTATCAGGGGATGTCTTATTTTGGGGGAAACAGGGTACTTCAATTGTTCTGCAGATAGTTCTGCAACCTATATAAATTGAACACCTAATGCATTTGTATACAGTTGCTTTATAACTAACGATGTTGCCTTACATCAGATTGGAGGGCTGGAGGAATCCTTCTGAAACTTTGTTCTCAAGATGTTCTTTACTAGAGGAGAATAATAGCTGCCCACTATGGGAGAAAGAAAAATGTCTATGGCTGGAGTCATGGGACATGATTGAAAAATGGCCTGAAATTAATGGATGAATGAGTAATGGAGCTAGGTTCTTTCTTGGTACTTCATTTTAGTTCTAATTATGCTCTTGATCCCCTTTCCTCCCTCCCTCCTTCCCTGGTTTATTTTTGACATTCAAATAGGCAGTCCTCAGCTTATGACCAAAATGGAGCCTACCCTTTACAGTCGTACATTGTAATGGTCATAAAGTGAGTCATCATGTTACTGACTTGATTTTTATGAATTTTTTTGGCAGCAATTGTTAAGCAAAGGCTATGACTGTTAAGCAAACCATTCAGCAAAAACAATGTAAATAATAAATCATGTCTGGTGACTGGAGTCCTGGGAACAGCCATAAATGTGGGCCAAGTGCTGAGCATTTGAAATGCTCTCATATAACTGTATGTGTGTATGTGTGTAGAGGGGTGTTGGAACTTTGGAACCAAGTTGTAAGTACCTTTTGGGAGATACTTCAAATTGGTGCTAAGCCATCAGTTGTTAGCTGAGGACTAGCTGTTATATACATATCATAAATGGACATTTTTACTTTTTGAGATTTGATTGGCAACAACTTAGTAAGAAGGGGAGGATATAATCTTTTGAAGTTTGAGAATTACCAGATGATTGGATAGCAGACTAAATAGGGTTAATTAAGCCTTTCACAACACTTTGAACAACATATAGAAGAAAAATATTACTTTTGGTCTTTTAGCTGGCTTGCGACGAAGTTTCCGACTGAGCCGAAAGGAGAAGCAGAGTGATCCAAATGAAGCCAAACAAACTGAACAAAACTCCCCTCCAGAACTTCTCACATATGAGGAAGTTATCAAATACCAGCAGCAGCCTAGTGAAAGGAAGAGACTGGTGGTTTTAATTGGTGAGTTGCTGTGTGTAAAAAGAGCACCATTTTGTTACAGGGAACTGATTGTTGACATACTGCAGATCAGTTTCTCAACCTTGGCAACTTTAAGGCATGTGAACTTCAGCTCCCTAAATTCCCCAGCCATCCCATGCTTTAAAGTTGCCGAGATTGAGAAACACTGCCGTAGATAGTGGAGATCAACATTTTCAAACTATGGTGAACTCAAAGATGTGTCCTGAAGTTCTCATCTTTTTAGGAAGGTATGGGATGTGTAGAATTTAACAGTCAGTATCCAGGATCATGTGGAAAGAAAAGCAAGTTTTGGATCCATCTTCATCAAAATTCAGGTAGTTCCCAATTAAGTAGTCATTTATTCTACTATATATAAAATCGATAATTCAAACGATCATGCCTCTTGTAATTAGTTCTGGGTAACTTTGGGATTAGTAATTTTCGCTTCATGTTCACTAAATTCATGAATGTATTTCAAAACAGATGGAATTTGAATAACATTATGAGAGATGGTGCTTTCAGAGGGCGAGCTGGTGTGAGGGGAATTCAGTGGAGCAGCAGTTTCCCAGCAAGGAAGGAGCATATTCGAGAAAAGGGAAAGGGGATACAAAAGGCAGCATAGCCCTGACCTGGATAAGTCACAGAGAGTAAGCAGAGCCACTCCCAGAATCTCCCTGGGCATATCTGTTATGGTGAGAGTAGTAAGGGTTTAATCCAGTGGTGGGATTCAAGTAATTTAACAACCGGTTCTCTGCCCTAATGATTTCTTCCAACAACCAGTTTGCCAAATTGCTCAGAAAGTTAATAACCAGTTCTGCCACAGTGGTGTGAACTTGCTGAATCCCACCACTGGTTTAATCTGTCAAGATTCTGTCTATGTCGCTCTTAGCTTGATAAGCATACTTCTTTGAAGGTACATTGAGTAGTATATGCAGGTTGCATCTAGTATCCCATTGAAGGCTCCAGATTTTAAGAATATAAAACTCATGCTGGATGAGAATCAAGTTCTTTTAGTCCAGAATCCCATTTCCTCAAAGGCTCAACTGATATCTCTGAGAAACTCAGATCAGGATACGAAGATATCATCCTGTTTCTGCTGTTCATTTGGCGCACAGGGATTTTGCTTCCTATTTTGGAAATTGTAAACATTAGCACCTGGTTGTTGGATGATGCAGAGTACCCTCACCTCCTTGAAGGAAACAAAAAGATAAACATGTAATAAAAATAAATATTTTAAAATTGTTTATATGACTCTTTCTGAATCTTGGAAACTTTAAGACATGTGGCCTCAACTCCTGGAATTTTCCACCGGCCATGTCTTAAATTTGCCAGGGTTGAGAAGAAGTAGTTTATATGTAAAATAAACATACATGATGAATCCTACTCATCTTCCTTTCTGCAATTTAGCGTTTTCCCACTGTGTTTTACTTCTTCCACTGAGCAGGATGTAGGATGTTACCCAATTCCTTAACCTGGAATGGGAAAGCAGCAGGTTAAATTAGGCTTGGCAGCTTGGTCCTCTAAAGACAGAGCTCTCCAAAGGTACACAGCTTCCAAACAATCTCTGCTAGATGCCTTTCCCTTCTGACTTAAATTGAGAAGGAAGGCCAGTTGCTTGAAAAGTGAAAGTCTGGAAGATAAAGTTAATGAGCAGGAAAGCTGAGCAAAACCTTCATTTAGTGCCCTCCAAAGTACTAGAATTGACGTATATGGCTGTTTAAAAAGTAAAGTGGATTTGGGCTGTGTGGGGGATCTAGATGGGGGTCATTGGGCAGGAGGAGATGATGGATCTAGGATTGCTAACCTTCATTCCATGCCTGCTGTTTGGATTGAAAAACTAGAAAAATGCCCCACTAGAGTAAATAAGAAGTTTTACATTCTGACCTGGAGAGGAATCATGTCAGAGGCCATGAGCTTATTGGGACACAGAAGTTTGTTATTAGTAAGCTTTTAAGACTGTTGATAACAGTGCACATCGTATTTTATTTGATTCACTTATAAGGGCAGAACCAACATAGATAAAGCTGCCAATCAAATGTTGGCCGCTTTATGGTTGGCTTCTGCTGCATATGCCTTGTGTTTTGTCTATTCACCCACTTCTTCCTCTGATCTCTCAGGTTCTTTGGGGTCTCGGTTAAATGAACTCAAGCAGAAAGTAGTGGCAGAAAATCCACAAGAATATGGAGTTGCTGTGCCACGTAAGAAACTCCCCACCCCAAAGATGTATCTTGTCACCTATCCCCTCCCCATGAAATGCAAAGTTGTTTATTTCTCTATTTATGTTACTTTATTAATACCAATATCAAACTGCCCAATGGTAATGTTCTCTAGATGACTTACTCTTGTTCAGTAATTCAGTCATTGCCATTTTTTCACATCCTAATGGACATCAATTTGCCAGAATTATCTGTGAATAAATAACTGCTTGGATTTTTGTAAAGTTATGCTTGTTTTATCAGTAAAAGCAACTGGCCATCTTATGTGCTGCTGACAACTTTTCTATTCCATCTATGTTTCCAACCATCAAAGTCTTCTCCAGAGATTTGTGCTTACATAATATGGCTACAGTAGTAAAACATTAGCTTCATTATCTAAGATTGAATGATTACTTCTTGCTGTTCATTGTACTCAACAGTTTCCCCTACCACCACAGGGAAAACACATTAATTTCAATTCATTCAGACTTTCTTAATGTCTGGCTTTTATAGTCATATCTTAAACAGTTTATTTTTATTTGGATAAATTTTCTTATGCTGCTGATGTCTTTTGCCTGTATTTTTCTCATTTATTTTCAACAAACCAACAGACAGCCGTTTCTCCTTATTCTGCTGCTTAACATGTGGAATATTTTTGTTTCACCTTTGATGATATCACAGATTTGGTCCAGAGCGATCTCCAAACATTCTGTTTATTCAGTCTAATATATTAAATCTGTTATTTACCTTCACTGCTTACTCATATGAAATATTGCTGAGATTGTATCTTGTTGGTCTGATTATTTTGTTGCTTTCTAAATTGGAATTCATGAGACGTTCCTGATTTAAACCTCAGTCAGGTCTTGTTTTTGTTGGCAAAGCTGAACACCTCCATTTTAACTTGCAAAGTATATAGCTTTAGTCAATGTGTTTTTGATATTGTATGTCCAGCAATTAAATCTTGCAGCTTATTAGAAGTAGGTATTTATTGCAAACAATAAATGATCTTGGGAGAATTCTATTGATCAATCATCTGCTTCGTTTCAATACCAATTCATTTATTCCCATGATTACAAATGCCATTTTATTTTAACGTTTTAGTGCACATGTTGCCTATTGTGACATATTTTAGTTTGTGAAGTGGGTGCATAGGGTACTCAAGGAACTTTTCAATATTATCTTCCTCTAGATCTGTGCTTTAAGCATAAAATGGGATCTTTGTAACATAGGAAATCTCACCTTGAGTTTGGATTGAGACAATTCTGCCATTTTGGTGTGTTTGTGTGTATCTAAGCACTGACTTTTGCACTCTTGGTAAAAATGATGATTTCTCTATTTGTTCTGTAAATTTCCTGTCCACAGAAGAAAATTTCGTGAGTCTCTTGTGTAAAGATGAATTCCCTTCCATTTTATTTAACTCAATCTGAGAAAGTCAGTACTGTATTCCATTGTGACATTTCTGCTCTGATAATATTGTGTTCCTGATATTCCACACATGAATGTGGTGCTTGTGTATGTGTATGTGAATACACAGAATCACACATCCTACTGCACTTTTTGTTTTTGCCTGTGGATACAGTCATATCGTAAGCATCTATGTTATTCATATTTGTTCTCTGCCCTTACCCAGTAGTTTACTGAATACTTTCCAGTTTGAAGAATTCATTTACCATGGTCATGCAAATATTTGTCCTGATTGTGAGTATTTGTCTGGTTTTCTTGGTTGCCTTTTCCTTCTTCACTGAATCATGATTGATCCCATCTTTTCTCTCTGATCTGGCCATTTCTGGGTCAGTGTTCTGAGAGTGTGCAGTTTCAAAAAGGTATTCACAGAGCCACTGGGATGTGGAAGCCAACTCACTATTATAAGATAATGATCCATGAATTGGGACTTATAAGACACCAGGATAAAATATAGCGAAAAATAGATCACTTGATAAACAGTCAGCATATAAACAACCTAACATAAGGTAAACATGCTGGTTGGGATACTGGAAGATTTGAAATTGTGTGCGAGACAACCTGACCTAAAAAGTACATATATAACTGAAAAGGTATAACATGGAATCAACACCTCAAAAGAAGATTAGGGTTTTCTTTTGTCTATTCCCTCCTCCTTTTACAGGCTGCCTCTTTTGGGCCACATTGGAGTGAGTGGGGCTAGATAATCCCTCTTTGTTGTTGTTAGTTGTGAAGTCCTGTCCAATCCATCGTGACCCCATGGACAACATTCCTCCAGGCCTTCCTGTCCTCTACCATCCTCTGGCTGACTCCATCCAGCCACCTTGTTCTCTGCCATCCCCTTCTTCTTTTGCCCTCAATCTTTCCCAGCATTAGGCTCTTCTCCAGTGAGTCCTTCCTTCTCATTAGGTAGCCAAAATATTTGAGTTTCTGGATCTGGTTCAGGATCTGGCCTTCTAAAGAGCAGTCAGGGTTGATCTCTAAGACTGATCGGTTTGATCACCTTGCAGTCCAAGGGACTCGCAGGAGTCCCTCTACTCTCCTTTTTTTACTGCCTTCAGAGCAATCCCACAATGTGTGTGTAAATTTTTTAAACCAAGGAGAGTGTCTTTTCATCTTTTCGCATCTTAAAATCAACCCCCCCTTTGGCTAATGTGTAGTCCACTGCTGTAAAATATGACTATTTTTGCAAATTAACCTGAAGATTAGCTGTTGATTGGGAGAGTTTGTTTCCCTGGTAAATATCTATCTGTTTATCTGATTATCTCCTTGGCTTCTCAGGCAACCAGTGACTCCAGTAGGGTGGCAAAATCTAAATTATTCTACCTTAGTTAATTCGAATTATATCTTCCCAAGGGCATCACAAATCAACAAACTTAAAAACAAACAAACAGAAAACTCGCAGAACACAAGCACAAATAATTTGAAGCTTTTATTATTATTCACACCCAACTTGCTGCATTTATTATAAGTGCTAAACTCTTGAAAAGATCTGCTGTATGTGGATGATGGTTGAATTGGCAGCCTGTCCATCTGGAACATGTGATAGAAATAATTATCCTAGCGTATCTTAAATAATTGCTGTCTGTGACCATATGTCGCATAACCTAATCCTCTGTTCATTTTTTCTGTCCATTTCTCATGTCATGAGAGTAGCACAGATGGGCCTTTTCTCCAGTGGGATCATCATAAATGTAGACATTGCTTTCTATCTCTATGGGATCATTTGTGTCAGATGTGTGTTTTTGCACGTGCAGCAATTGACTGAAACAGGAGTGAATTGTGGGTGGCGATTGTTTGTCCAAGGAATTCTCTTTGGTTTGCTTGCTAAGGTTTGTAGCATATTCCCAAGAGCTTTATAAACATAGCATGGAATGGGGTTTCAGCTGTCACATATTTGGCTCATTGGAGTTCTAGCTGTATCCTTCCTCCAATAGTCAGATTCCTGTATCTACAATATCTAATATAAAACAGGAAGAGCTCTGTTGGATCAGATTGAAGGTTGTCCTAACCTAGGTCTTCCTTGTTTTAATTTTCACAGTAACCAAAGATGTCCATAGGAAGTCCACAATATAAGACCGTGTTTTTGTTTCTAAAGCTTCTAGGTTTTTTTTGGTAGGGAAATTGTCAGTAGGTTTATTTGTGCGTGTGTCTTTTTAGAATTATGGCATTTGGGAAGTTCTTTTTATTTTTACAATAGCTTCCCCACATGCTATAATTCTAATCTTAATTGGTCCCTTCCAGATATTTAATATGGTTTGTGTTCACACAGTATTGTTTGTTTTTCCTTAGCTTGATTTGTGAACCTACGTATTGTGTTTTAGCATTATATATGAATCAAATGATGTTTTCTGAAATTCTTGTGTTGCCTGCTAATCTAGAATTTGTAAAATGGATACTGAAGTTGAAAGAGGTAAAGAGAAGCTAGGACTGAAACAAACAGCATCATATTTACTTAATTTGTTTCCATTAATTACTTACAGTATCAGAGGATCTTCCTCCATGTGTCATGGTGAGCCCAGTTGCAAGGATAGTCTCCAGAATTCAACTCACAAAATGGCTGTTTTCTGTGGGCAAGCTCTATAGTTCTTAGATCTCTCTTTTCCCCTTTACCCCAGGAGTTGCTCAGTTTAGGCATCAACAAAGGAAGATTAGGATTAAGTATCTAGCTTAGCGACTGAGTGCTTGCTTCAACAAAAGAGAGAAATAATGATCTGATTGGTGTTAGAACTGGAAATTTGTTATCTCACAGCTTGCAAGAGCAAATAGGAGGACCTAGTCTGTCTAAGCAGTCTTTCTTCCAGTATTAATCGAAAAATGCAGGTCAATCATAGGACAGGCAGTTATGGTTATTTATCAGGTCATGGGTTAAAAATCCTGTCTTAAACAATACAGAAGGAACAACAATTGCAGGAAGAAAAAATATTGTAAAACAAATTAATCTCATGACACTATGAATAAAAAGCGGATATGGAAGTTGCTTGGATTAGAGTGAAAAAGAAAATTACCTTGCAAAATTGCCACAGAAGTGTGTGAAGTTATAGTGGAAAGTATGAAAGAGCATGCATAGTCAAATAGTAAAGTGAAAAAAGCTGTGGATGATGAAAAACAATTTTAAAGGTCTCTTTAAATATAGTATGAATTAGATGTCAATTCATACTATATTAGATTAGATGTTATTTCCAGTTTACACTGTTTAATTTTTTAAAGATAAATCACCTATAAGAAAAAAAATGCAAAAATACTATTGAGTAAGGATTGCACTTCATTGTACTTTAACAGAATAATAGAATAACAGAGTTGGAAGGGACTTTGGAGGTCTTCTAGTCCAAGCCCCTGCTTAGGCAGGAAACCCTACATCACTTCAGTCAAATGGTTATCCAATATCTTCTTAAAACCTTAATGTTCATATATTTCTAACTACATTCTTTAATCAGTCATTTTCCCCCTTAAAAACTATACCATAAATGTTTAAATTTGGCTTGCTGTGTAACATATAAAATTTATGGAAGCCATTTCAATTTGGTCAAACTTCTATTACG